GAAACTGGACACGTACCTACATACAAATTTCTGCATCTACCCGCTGCTCTCTTTTCAAACATTTGGGCTGCTAGCAAAGGCTTTACAAGCATTTTTGCAAGCACCAACAATCACTTTCGTGTCTAAACTAAATAGCATATGCAACACTCGCTTCTATGGTGGCACCTCCCATCAGCCGATTGGCAAGCTTTCATTAAGATTGTTAATTTAAGATCTGTGGCGTAATTTACTTTGGCACATAAGAGAATGCCGCTGGAACGTGCTACATGTGGTTCTAGCATAAATATAACCAAGCTGCATTTATATATAAGTAAGTGTGTACTGCCTTTTACTTTTAATATGAGGAAACGCATTTTATAGACACCGTTGCTGCTCACAGATGATGCTAACAAAAGATGCTGCAGTTACCACATTTGTGCGTACACAATTTGATTTTCGCATGTGCTACAACGGTTCGGCGTGTGAAATGTGCGTTCAAGTAGAAATTTATTTCTTTTCGTATATATGTGTGCAGATATGTGGAATGAACATACGTGACACATATACATGTGCACCTATGTGGTGAATAATGACATGTTGCATGCATTCCAAGATACCGCCATTCATATTTCCTGCAATTTGCCACAAATAATCAAGAGCACAATGGAATAAAGGTGCATATTAAGACAATTATCGCATGCGTGTATGTGTGCATGTCCATGTTTACCTTTTGCCGCGATTTGCGCTTCATAAAACTGTCTCAACGTCCGTCATTCCAATGCATTCAAATTCGATTTTATACTTGCCACAGACATAAATATACACTCGACGCTGGCTACCGCGGCTAGAACGCCGCAATTGTGCATGCAGTGAGACAGCTAAATCTCCATCAACGGCAACACAACTCGTCGCGTAATTGCATTAAATGAATTGCGCAACACAAGCGTGGCAAGGGCAACATGAAATCATGAGCAAACGTAACAGAAATAGCAAAAACAAAGTTTGCTACAAGCGGCTAATATTAGCGCGGTGGCGGCGCCACGGCAGCATGCACGCGAAATAATAATATTTGTGCCACCGGCGCGCACACACACACATACACATATAGAAGGCTAACAAACACTTTGTGACTACTAACGTTCCGATGCAACTGTCCGATGTTAGAATATCGGGACCGCCCTTGCACTGTACGCTAACCGCCATTTAAACGCCACCAAGCGGCTGCCCATTGACGTCCGTCCGCTGCCTGTTGCATTTTGCTCATTGCTTTTTGCTCTGGTAATTACAGTTGCTACGCCTTGTTGCAGCTTCGTTGTGTGTCTCATCGCTGTAACTGCTGCCATCGCCGCTCTTGCCACAAATGTGCACTTTACACAAGCCAAGTGCAACATCTGCATCGGCGCAAGTTGCTGCAAAGTATAAAAAATGTACTTAGTAAATGGCAACCAGAGTACGGCAGAGAACCCAATAACTGAGCAGAAGTTGAATCAAAGCAACAACAATTGTGTCAGTGTAAAAAGCACAGCAGCCGCAACAATAAGCGCACAGAACATTTTACATGCCACAAAATGTGCTTGCGACGTCGCTGACACGGCTACTACTATACTAAATAGCTCGTTGCATGTGTACACTCACAACGCTCCCTCCCAAGCTCCACAGACATTATACTTCATTTGCTCTTTAGTGCTCAGTGCCAGAATTTCTTATTTTATGCATTTTTGGACACATTTTACAATTGTGGCAGTTGTTATTTTTGTTGTTTTTCATACGCCACTTTGCAGCGGCACAAAACTCGAGCATCTCTTGCTGCCACAGCGGCTGCACTCATCGTCTGTGTTTCCCTTCTTTATTACATCCCTCGCTTTTCTTAATTTTATTTTTTTTTTCTTTTTTTTTTTTTGTTATATTTTCTAGTTTTAGCTTCTTCTCTACTGTCAGAGTGCTACTTTAGATGCTCTGCTGTTCTTACAAATCGAATATTATTGTGTTCGTATACTCGGCAGTCTGCCTGCTGTGTCCTTGTATAAATTGGTGTATATGTGTATGAAATGCCGTTGGCTTCACATTTTTTAATCTTTTGTGGTGTTTTATGTTACATTCTGTTGTACTTCTTTTGCTACTTTTTACAATTTGTGATTTTAACTTTACTTTAAGTGTCTGATATAATGATTATAATTGTGTGACACGAATGGGAAGTTGGCTAGTAATAGGAATCAGAAAGAAAGGAGGAATTCGTTAGATAGTTGTTAAAGCGCAATATTAGCAGGTAATGGGAAATTAAAGCAGCAGACATTAACATGCACGGAGTGTACGAAACACACCTTATAGCAGGAACAGTGGAGAACGCTACTGCCTTCCTGCCTTATCCTTCCTCATCGAGCAAAATGTGTGAACACTTGAGAACGTGGCAAAGACGCAGAAATCAGCCATCTTTGTTTGTTTTCATTTGAACAATGCTGCCATTGCTCAATACGCATATATAGATTTTTACAAAGTTATGTGTTCAAAAAATTTTTTTTATAATATAAAATATCAAAACTGCAAACAAACTATTAAAAATGGTACAGATATTTATAAGTAATAGCATTCGACTCTGATTTTGAGTTATTATAAGAAAATTTCAAACGTTATGAACAGATTGAATTATAAAAGTTGATAATTAGTACAGTATATAGATAATGGCAACCCTGCGTTGTGAGAGAGCAATCAACTGACACATTTCTACGGCAAAAATACAAATGCCATGAATTCTCACGTCATCCGACGTCAAAGAGAGAAGGGAGTAGCGTTTTTTACTGTGCACTTACATTGCGCGCCCAAGATGGGTCGTATCAGCTGACACGCGCCACGATTCTACGCTCTCCACTGTTACTGCTTTTATTAAGTGCTATTTCAAATTATTTAGATCCATTTTCAGTTGAAGACTAAAAAAGCTGTAATATCCTAGACAGCCTTTCTTTTGTCATAAAAGAGTAAAAGAAGGTTTTGTTTTTTTTACTCTTATCGGTCAGTTGGCGTTCGAGTTATATGCTGTAGTGGTCGCATATCGGCGGTGTGCAAAATTTCAAAAAAATTTATTAAAGAGGAACAACAAAAAAAAAAAAAAAAAAAAAATCTCAAAAAATATTACAAGTAGTACTTTTTTTTATTTTTAAATGCGAAAACATTCCCAGCAATTATTCAAGCAATTGGATATTAGGTTGTCAAAAAAGTCTTGCGGTATTTTTATTGAATTTTCAATTGTTCATAAAATTTTGTTTGATGACTCATGCCCAGCTCTTAACCGATGCTACGGCTGCTATTATGCCGGCCTCTTTCGACCAATTCAGCGAATTTTATCGCAATTTTCGACGACAGGCCTTCCGAAGCGTGGCGCATTTTCGACCAGCTCTACACCAGAACGAAAACGTTGAAACCATCGTTGTGCGATGGAAATGGAAACTGTATCGGGTCCATAAACTGCACAAATTTTATTGACGGCTTGAGATGCATTTTTGCCTTTATCGTAGTAGTACTGTAAAATATGCCGTATTTTCTCTTTATTTTGCTCCATGTTTGCGACAATATAACTCATGAACATGTTAGAGCGTGAAATGAGCTTTCAAAAAGGTATAGCATTACCCGATGCGACGAATAAAACTAGAACTACGCGCTCTCAGCGCCAACCAGCGAAAATGCCGCAAGACTTTTTTGACAAGCCATTATAAATATTCTAAATCGAAGGTAAGAGTACATAGATTATTTAGTGATCACCAAATAAGATCATTAAGTTTTTAAATGGATATATTGTAACATTTTATTACAAACATATAAATGGTGATGACAAAGAAAATAGATATTGAAAAGACGAATGATTTTATAAAGACCACTTTCCTTTCTTGGCTTAACAACTACTAACAACTTTACAAAAGAGTTGATGAATTGCTTTGGTACTAAACATAGTACATAACTTGTTAACAACTCCGTTGTTGGCTTGAAAATATAAGCTTAGCAGTGGTAGAAACTAATCAAATAAACGCAACATGAAACCAGAATTTGTGCGGACTGTAATAACTTCCGCATATATTCACAGCATGGCACGCAGCTTGCTAATCTTGCGAACGGCCCGGCAACACAATGCATTTCTAGCACATGCGCCCGAATTAATTACTCAATGTTCCCGATGCTTTAGCACATTTTATTAACCATTAAATACCCGTATGTACACAAAAGCAAGTGTACCGCTTCATATTTCGCCGTTAATGACCAAACGCTGACGTTCGGCTTTGAAACTTAACAAACACCTGTACGGGAGATACCCAGAACTGGAAATAATACCGGAACACATCTATACAAATCATAAGCGAATCTTTAAAATGAGGGTTAACTTTGTTAGCAGTTTTACTATGGTTGTGGATGACTTTATACCGTTATAACTTACATTAAGTGAAGTGTTGTATTCAGAGTTTAAAATTTGTTATTTGAAAAGCTAACTGGAGAGCTGAAACTTCAGAGCAACGCAAGATGTAGGTAAATGTTTGAAACATCTACGAATGCACAAGTAACTCAATATTTTAAAATAAAACAAATTCCGATAGCTTAAAATTTTTAAAATTTTTTCTCGCTAAAGTAAAATATAAAGACAGATATTAAAGGGAGATTTATTTCGAGGTGCCCCTCGTTTTTGAAGAAATACATAGAAAGATCAAATTTAATGGGGGAATATTCATTATCTAACGAAAGAGCATTTTTTGGCATTTATTGTTTGAGGATGCTGCGGATTTGCTGCGGCTACGTCTCAGTTAGTACATCTTTCGAGTCCAATTTTATGACTCAAGTCAGTGTTTTATTAGTAACTACCGTATGAGCCCATAGAGCAAAACGGAGTCGCTTGACTAGGTCGAGCGTCCAGAGTTTCGATTTAGGATCTCGACATAAAACGAACTGAATCGTTAATATTTTTTAAATGCCTATCTGCTTTATATTACCGCTTGCTGTTTGTTCACTAACCGCTACTGCACCGTTTGTTTATGTATTTACAGTTATTGGTCAACAAACCGCGCCGCCGAAATGGCCAATTTACGGTGATCGCTACACAGAAATTGCACTGGATTTAGTCTTCCCAAAGCAAGATGGCAAGCAATTGCAGCTGCTGCAGCCGCTCGATCGCGATGAGGAGATTCTGAGACACATTGTCTTTCAGGTGAGTGCACGAAAGTGACCACGAGCTATGCTTTTAGAAGAAAGCTGAGCTGAAGCTAAAGCGAAGCAGCGTGTGTGTATGCGAGGCTTTTAAAATGTTTATATGTGTGTGTGTAATGCAACGTAAAATATACACAACTAAGTGGGATGTGCAGAAATGTGTGTCTGTGTAAAAAAAACAGCCCCGCTGTGGTTTGCCAATGTGAGGTTTTATTTGGTGAAATGCAAATTTTTTATGGCAAAATTTAACAGTTGCATGCCACAAAATGCGCCGCCCGGCTAACGAAAAATATGTAGAACGCTTAGCTAGTAAACACAAATATTCAAGCGTTTTATGCCTGCTTTACTTGTGCCATCTGGCGTGCAGCGCAACAATTTCTTAAGCAGATCTTCTGCTTATGCAAACCACCAACGGAGTGCTTCGCTGTCTCTATGTCTCTATGTGTATATGTGATTATTTCTGGTTACTTTGTTTATTTAAAACTATTGAGCGCTTTCATTTGTTTTTACTAATTTTTATTTTTTCAATTTCCATTTAATTTGTGTTTTCTCCTTTCGCTGCACCACAGGTTTCCTGTTCGATTCGCAACGCAACCAACAAGCGACGCAGCATTCCGCTTATTGTGCGTGTATCTGTTGTCAACAACAATGCGAAGCGCTTCATGAACACCCTATGAGGTCACCGTGCCGGAGGTAAGCAATGAACCATTTTTATGCAATTACAAAAACAAGCAACGCCAAGCTTACATCAATGTGTGTGTGTGGAAATATTGGCAAAGAGCGCAGAAGAAAATTAAAAACTTTCCTAAATCCACAAAAAACATATTTTTTGTTCATGTTTTAGCTTTATTTGCAAACTTAAGCAGTCGTTGGCTGGCCTCTTCGCCGCAATCTTGATAAGCTGCTTAGCGGGAAGCGACCGACTCGGCATGTCGCTGCATTATCGCGAAGCGAAATTTAAGTTCCTTACCTTTTTACTTCACAATATGTAGAAAGACGAAACAACAACAACCGTGGCAACAAAAACAATTAAGTGCGCTTAATTCTAAGGCACTGTGTCCCGTGCTTGAATGTTTGGTTGCTAATCGCACCCTTTGCCAGACAGTTCGCGCTGCGCGCACCAGCCAAGTTCACCAACCTAGCGGGTGGTGTTCATTGATCGCGACTGGTTTTCCGCGCCCACACATACTTTTTTTCTTCTAACTGCAAATACTGCCAACAAAACTGCGCACAAATGCTCGCAAACATTTATGAGTGGTGCTACCGTTAAAACTGTTGTTATCAATAAAATGATTTCAAACAGCTCTCAGGTTATGTCTGCTCATAATGACGTTAACTATATTGTATATGTGTTTGTATGCAACGTTGTTTGCTGAGAATAAGTATGCGACATTGAAATTGATCACAAAATTCAAAAGACGGCGGAAAACTCGTTTTGCATAATGTTCGAGTCATAACGATTTATTATACCGTATTATGGCTTTGGTTTTATATAAAGTAATTCATAGTAAAAGTAAAGAAGCAAAAGTTTTTTTCCAGTATTTTATATTTATTTTTTACGATTTATTACAATTTTCCTAAGAATGTAGAATTTAATTTATTGAATGTCGAGCCCAAATGTAGGCTATTTTTATTCATTCATTGTTGCTTTTTAATTCGCATTTTAAATTTTCTTATAACCGTGCGCTTAACTAAAGACAATCTTGAAATTTTTAATAAGAATTCTCCTAATTGTAAGCAATTTTTTTTACGTTTTCCCCGGAGCGGTCATTTGAGTATACTGAATGGCCGGAAATCGCACGGAGCTAAATCAGGTGAATACGCTGATTGTGGCTTGAAAAATTTCAAGAACTATCCAAAAATCAATACTGCGATGGTGCAAAAAAACAAGAGTTGTCGGCCCATAATTCCGGCCTCTTTTTACGAATAGCTTCCCACAAATGACGCATAACACTCAAATAGTTTGCGTTGTTGGGAGTTTGAACAGTGGAAAGGAGTACGGAGCGCACCACAAATGTTAGTCAAAGAAAACTGTCAACATAACCTTGATTTTCGACCTGCTTTAACGTAGTCTTATCGGTTTAGGCTCACCTTTGATACAACATTTGGCCGACTGATCGTGTGTTTCTGGGCCATAAGCATTGATCTAAGATCCATCACCAGTAGTAATACGTTTTAAGATAACCTGGAAGTAAAAAGGCATTGTTACACAGACGTTAACGCGATACTGTGACAAAAAAAGAGTGATTTTGGAACCAATCGTGCTTTCACTTTTCTTAGGCGTAAATTATCTCCCTAAATGGTTTTCCTTGATCCTTCCCATATTCCAAAGATGCCGGTAAGACCCTTTTTGAAAAATGTATACCAATTAAAAACACATGCTCGCCACAAACAATTAGGGACTTATAGTATAATATAATAAAACCTTACTAAAATCTTCCGATTACATTTATTTCTCAAGCTTTCTATTTCCTTAAGGTCGCTATTGAAATAGAATCGCATTTTATATATTTATAATGTTTTGTATTATATCCATAGAATTGACTGATAGTTGATGTAATATTAATTTTTCCAAACTTTAGTTTTCACATTTTTCACGAGATTTTAAATATCATTTTTAATCATCAATCATCTGCATAAAAATTTCAAATTATAAACTTTTAAATATACATGAAAACATAAATAAACTCGTTAGTCTAATCACTAAATTTATAATTTCTCGCAGCTATACGCACCACTGCTATAATAATGTGCTTGCAAAAGGCAACGGGGAACATCTGCCACATTGACTGACATGCACGTAAAGCAACATCAAAACGAGCGCCTCAGCTGTCAGAAATTTCGCGTACGATGTTATTTCAGTTTTCTTTTGCTATATTTTCTTGCATTTGCTTCTTCTTTTTTTTTTTTTTTTTTGTTTTGTGCTAATTTTTATTGCGCTTATTAAGCGGCCATCTCAACAGTGAATTGCCCCGGGCAATTACTTTGCATGTGCACTTGCTTACAAACTTAAATGCAACAATTTCACAACAACAAAAGAATGCTGGTGTGAGTTGAGTTATTTAAAAGTTTTGTGATTTTAGTGAAATGCTGCATGCCACATTATGTTGGCTACGGCTTTTTGAATAAAATACTTATTATTTTTTTAAAACACTTGCTTAAAATTAGAAAATGGAACGTTAAGAGCTAAGCCCTTCCAATTTACCTAACTTTACATTACCTAAGTAATTAAATTCTTCATTTCATTTCATTTCATTTCAAATTCACCCCAAAGGTGATCTAGGCGCCGATACCCAGAGCATACTTAAATTATGTGGAAGACCCCAAAATCTGCCCCAACTACCGGGCCAAACGAGGTTTCAGACAAGGCGACTCCCTATCGTGCGACTTCTTCAATCTGCTGCTGAGGAAAATAATTCGTGCCGCAGAACTTAATCGAGCAGGTACAATCTTTTATAAGAGTGTACAGCTGCTGGTGTATGCCGATGATATTGATATCAGACTGGACAAGAAGCAAAGCAAATGGGTTTGGCAGTGAACGAGGGCAAAACGAAATATCTCCTGTCATCAAACAAACAGTCGTCGGACTTGCGACTTTTCACTCACGTCACTGTTGACAGTCATAACTTTGAAGTCGTAGATAATTTCGTCTATCTTGGAACCAGCGAAAACACCACCAACAATGTCAGCCTAGAAATCCAACGCAGGATAACTCCTGCCAACAGGTGCTACTTCGGACTGAGTAGGCAATTGGGAAGCAAAGTCCTCTCTCGACAAACAAAAACCAAACTCTATAAGTCACTCATAATACCCGTCCTGCTATATGGTGCACAGGCTTGGACGATGACAACAACTGATGAGTCGACGTTGCGAGTTTTCGAGAGAAAGATTCTGCGAAAGATTTATGGTCATTTGCGCGTTGGCCACGGCGAATATCGCATTCGATGGAACGCTGAGCTGTACGAGATATATGACGACATTGACGTAGTTCAGCGAATTAAAAGACAGCGGCTATGATGACTAGGTCATGTTGTCCGAAAGGACGAAAACAGTCCAGCTCTGAAAGTATTCGACGCAGTACCCGCCGGAGGAAGCAGAGGAAGAGGAAGACCTCCACTCCGTTAGAAGGACCAAGTGGAGAAGGACCTGGCTTCGCTTGGAATATCCAATTGGCGCCACGTAGCGAAAAGAAGAAATAACTGGCGCGCTGTTTTAAGCACTCCAATAGTAGACTTGAACTTCATCAGACACCTAGCAATGCAAACTGTCCATTTAGCGGCAACAGCACTACAAATAACACGTGTCATCGTCAAAGCCAATATTCCGAACATATAAAAATCCTGTGCAAATATACATGCAGACATAAGTATATTTAATATATATCTACAGACATTACATTAGCTTAACATATGCAAATATATACTTGTATGTTGCACCCACTTGTTGGACGGCAATTACAACTTTAATGCTGCCAACCACTTTTCAAACACTCACCAGTTGCTTGCCACATTTTAGCGTAGTCCGCAGCAACTGTCAATTGCCACCAAAAACAACAAGTAAATCACTTTGAAAACAAGCCTAAGCAATCAATTACAGAGACAAGTTGTTCGCTCGACGGACAGCAATCAAAAAGGAAAACAAAACCAAAACAAACGCTGCGACATAAACGAAGTTCGTACGCAAAAATTAAACGAAAACAAATCGCTTCAATTTTATGCGTATTTTGGTTAATTAAGTGGCCGTCAGCCGAACGCTTCGCTGTTTGGTCGCTCAATCGCTTGGACAGTTGTCAATTTGGCGCACTTTAAACTTGATTGGATTAGTTGCTGCGGCGGTTATTCGGCGTAAGTACTTAGCAACATGTTGCTTTTAATGAAGCCAATGCGCAACATGTTGCTAGTGAAGCATGTCACGCATGTCTATAGGAACAACAACAGCTAACCAGCTAATGGTAGCTGAGTTTACTTAATTTAAAATTTTTTTTTGATAATTTTATTTATTATTTTTTCATTAATTTTTCGTCACATAAACGTCTAAACAAATGCATTTTTTGTTCGCTTGTTGCAATGTGATTTCCCACAGGCGCAAAAATGCACACTGCATTCCTGCACAAATACTTGGCTTACACACACATATACAGTCACTCGTAGTGCGTTTGTCTGGTTGTTGCACAAAATTTGCAACACGCTGCACTGCTATACATCAATTGGCAGCCGCACCTGTTGGCACCGTTTCAAAGAGCTGTCCATCAAATGCGTTTACACCACTTCCCACCTCCTTAACCGCGCTCCCCCTCTCCACAGCCAATTTATGTTCTTAAGTTGCTTGTTTGCTATCAACGCAAATCCAGTTCAACGGGAATGGCTTGGCCGCAAATAGATCACTCAGCGAGCGTAAACATCTTTTAACTAGCGCCTGTTGACCGCTTAGCCGCCCACCGCGCCAAACCTCCGTGTGTCAAGCTGTGAAGTCTGCGGAAATTAATTATTACAAGTTGCACGTCGCTTTAAAGATCTCAGTTGCTCTTCTTGCATTCATAAAGTTTTGCTACTTTTGTCGCTTTTGTTCTTTGGTCTTGGCGCTGCCATCTTAATTGCTCATTTGTAAGGAAATTGCGCCATTCATAAATACATTAGAGAAATCAAATTAAGTTATTAGCTCGGCAATGCCATATACCGCTATTCGCAACGAGC